GTAGAACTGTTGTTAACACAACACCATTTACTAAACTGATTTCAACATAAACATGTACATTTGAACAGCTGTTGACCCAACAAATGGTAAAGAATATATAAATTATGGTACATGTATACAGGGCATACATGTAGTTGCCAACTCTCATGGATCCACCATCATCATCACGTTTTTATTAAAACCACCCCGTTGAGCTCACAGCTTGGTAATTTCTGACAGATTTCGAAAATAACCCAACTGGTTTTCAAATATGTTGGCTTTGTTGCACATTTTAAATTAACTATTAAGAGTGACTTCTTTTGCGTCAAATTACATAAAGCCTTTTTCTTCTGAAAAAATTCACGCCATTAAGCCAAAAATAGATAATCAAAACATCACTTTTGTATATCTAAATAAAGGCCACCAAAACGATCTAGAGACTCCATCTTTTCAAAATGTTTCATCTCAAGACCAACTATGATGGCGACTCGTTGGTCCCCCAAAACAAAATCTCACGGATGTTTTTTTCCAAAGTTGGCAACTTAATGATATAGTCTAGGACCTGTATATGAATTATTATGCGATTCATTTAGGACAGGTAATCTCAACAGTTTTTGGGTAAAATGACCATGGCGGTCAACATGGTATATGTGCGAAAACCTGAATCCGGGACGAATGTCCTGAAAATGACCCCGCCCTAAAACGGCAGTGTCGACATAGCTCTAACTTCCGAAAAGGAAAAGCGATAGCCTTTCTGATGTGCTTATAGTGTTTAGAAGGATTGCTTTTAGGGGTGGTCATTGGAAGGAAAAATTTGTCGAAGTATAATATTTTACCAGAAAATGACTATGCACCACCCCAGGTAAATTGCTGATTATGCACAAAAAAACTAATATGCCTGGCAGAAATTAAATATTCTTATTTCCTAAAAAAAATTATCATGGGGTGAAAAACTATGCTTAATTTAATATAAATATTGTTGATTTCATAATGATTGTCATTGTTTTCTTTAAATATAATACATTTTATTTCACTTACCCCCCACGAAAACACGATTTCAGCCATATTTTGCCGTCTTGTTTGCTTTTTATCGCCGAATCTCGCAAATATCATCCAGTTATTGTACTTTTACATAATCATAATGAGGAAGGAAAAATCCTCCCATTAGGAAGGAAAAATCCTCCCGTATAATCCCGTATACCATTTACGTTCAAAATAAAAAACAAATCATTTGAAAGTCACACGCAATCTTCGCGAAAACTTCTCGTGGACACATGACAGGGGGGTTGAATATTTTCACGAATATGTTCGCCACCACAGAAACATAACTAAATATATTGTATTTATTGTATTTTATGATTTATGACAAAACTACGCAAATATTTATTGTTTTTATTATAAATCATAAAAATACAATAAATACAATATATTTAGTTATGTTTCTGTGGTGGCGAACATATTCGTGAAAATATTCAACCCCCCCTGTCAAGTGTCCACGAGAAGTTTTCGCGAAGATTGCGCGTGACTTTCAAATAATTTGTTTTTTATTTTGAACCTAAATGGTATACGGGAGGATTTGTCCTTCCTAATGGGACAAAAGTTGCCAATTTTTGGATTGGGACTATTCTACAATGAAGTACTCTTGGATACTGTAATCTAAATACATATGGAAACGAAGAAGTTGCATTTATCAGACAGAGAAGCGGCGAGCCATTAAAATGGCGGCATTTTGGCGGAATATCGAAGGACACAATATCGAAGGTAAAATACACTGCACTGTTACAAAAGTGGATGAAACCTTCTTTGAAATCTTCTTCAGCCATTTATGATTATGTAAAAGTACAATAATTGGATGATATTTGCGAGATTCGGCGATAAAAAGCAAACAAGACGGCAAAATATGGCTGAAATCGTGTTTTCGTGGGGGGTAAGTGAAATAAAATGTATTATATTTAAAGAAAACAATGACAATCCTTATGAAATCAACAATATTTATATTAAATTAAGCATAGTTTTTCACCCCATGATAATTTTTTTTGGGAAATAAGAATATTTAATTTCTGCCAGGCATATTAGTTATTTTGTGCATAATCAGCAATTTACCTGGGGTGGTGCATAGTCATTTTCTGGTAAAATATTATACTTCGACAAATTTTTCCTTCCAATGACCACCCCTAAAAGCAACCCTTCTAAACACTATAAGCACTTCAGAAAGGCTATCGCTTTTCCTTTTTGGAAGTTAGAGCTATGTCGACACTGCCGTTTCAGGACGGGGTCATTTTCAGGACTTTCGTCCCGGATTCAGGTTTTGGCACATATGCCATGTTGACCGCCATGGTCATTTTACCCTAAAACAGTTGAGATTACCTGTCCTAAATGAATCGCATACAAACTCATATACAGGTCCTAGACTAGTGGAATTATGTCAAGTTCGAGTGCAAATATAGATGAGAAAGTTGAGGACAATGATGGAGATGTAAAAGGTAAGATTTGTGAACCTTCTGCATTATTTATAGTATGTAAATATTGATTGAATTATTGAAATCGTGAGTTCTGAGGGTCATGGGGGTCATGACAAATATGATTATAATAGTCTTAGGCAGCGTTTACACTGTACCGTTTTCGTAGCGTTCTCGTATTGTTCGAGAGAACTAGACTATTGTCTTGCGTTCCCTTGAGGATTAAGAACAATACGAGAACGCTACGAAAACGGTACAGTGTAAACGCTGCCTTAATAGTGCAATGTTCAAACCTCAAAACAAAATTAAAATAAAGTCATCAATTTCCACACAAACAAATGAATAGATTATAAACTTTTTGTCTGTTAATAGTATTATCATGAAGCTGGCCCATATTACTTTTATTATTAGTTACGTTGTTAGTGCAGTTATTAAGTGTACAGATAGTATTAACTATTAACTCACTATTAAGTACAGTTGCCATATTAATCTTGATATTTTTGTAATCGTCAAAGCATGTGTCTTTCACCACTGATATTGTGGGTTCAAATCATGTTGGGACAACTTCCTCCCACAGGGAATGTTGACAGTGTTGGTAGGGATTTCCTTAAAAAAACTAACTGTTCAGTAATAAATCTTGTATGACGGAACTTTCTCTAAACCGCATGTTATTAATTCTGTGTTTGAATAATTAGACCATAGGCTTAGTTAAAAATTATTTTAATAACTACGTTTCAGAGAATAACTCCATCTTCAGGTTAAAGGTGACTAAAGATATAAAAACTTTCAACACAATTACAAATTTAGACAAAATCTGTTAGGATTGTGTATAATAGTTGACGTGCACTTCAAAGTAAGGGGCTGTTTATATGGAAGCGAGCCAGCCCTGGTACCCGAGCTAGCTAACTTCCCCCAGATGAATTTCATCACAAGTTTACATGAAACTTTTGGGGCAGCTAACTTTGGAAAACAAATACAAATTTTCGCAAGAAAGTTTGGGCATGTGCACGAAGACATTATTTTACTTAAAAGCCGAGCCAGCTCGGGTAAATGTGTTTATAAGGAAAACTACCCAGCCCGTTTACGGTTTACCCGAGGTCTCGGGTCACACGAAGCAGTACCTCGGTTAGGCGGGCCAGCTCAGTTCTCATATAAATGCAAGATGAAATTTAGTAGGAAATATTAACAAAGACGGGATCTCCCCTAAAGCGAGCTATCTCGGGTACCCGAGCTGGCTCGCCTCATATAAACAGCCCCTAACTCGTGTCCATGTTCAGTAATAGCTGTGCTATGTGATAGCAAGTCATAAGGTGGCTGCAATGGCACCCTAAGAAAACATTCCACTTGATCACATTGAGCTGTTTCCTTTGCAATTCAGCTTAGCTCTCAGCTGCAAGTAAGAATAATAAGCACATCACTTACTTACTTCTTTACTTACTTACCTATACAGCTAATTCAGTTAAGGTTATCCTATGAAAACCACAAACCTAGAGCTCTAAGCACGAAAAGCACAATGGGTGTATGTATCATAATGAGATTGTTTATGCATGCATGTTAGTACATTTATGCAAAACAAGTGAATTTAATTCCCAAAGGAGTTAAGCATGTCCCACAAACAACTTTCTTTAATGTTAAAAAGTTTAAAAATCCAATGAATTTTGCCGAGTTTGCTATGGAATTGGGTTACACAAGCAAATAGAATCCGAAATAGGCAAAAATCACAGGAATTTGTGAATTATAAATTGCTTTTTTCATGCAAAACCAAAACGACTTGTGGGACGTAACAACCGTAACTACGGAGTGTGGGAACAGTATGAATTACATACTATATGCATGTCCATCGTGCTTTTCCCGCCTAGAGCGCTAAGTTTGTGGTTTTCTGAGGACAACCTTAATTGAATTACAGTAGCTGTATATTAATTTGTCTGATTCTTACAAATAAAAAGGTTGGTCAGAGCAAGAGGTTCAACAATGGCTCATAAAAAATGGATTTGAAGAGGAATCTCAGTTTTTTCAGGGTTAGTGTACCATAAGTTATTATTTCTGCAGGTACACTCAATTCAACTATGGAAGCATTAAATTAATAGGTAATATGCAAAAAAAATATTAAGGCCAAAGTGCACTGTATACATGTAATTGTTGGATAAGTTATTATATAGTTGAGGTTTTTGTCCAGGGTCAAAAATCACATAGAAAAGTCAAGGGATGCAAAAAGGGAGAGTTTGAATTCTTAATTGTTACCCTTCACTTTTTTGTCCAGGAGGGGGACCTGGGTAATCACTTGACATGTGATAAAAAAAATTATATAGGACATCCAAATTGGAGTGGGGCTAACTTTCAGTTCCTCTGTTGGGCAGGTGTGGATGTTTCCTATAATATTACAGTACAGTATATTGAATAAGTTGGCCCACAATTACTCACTTGTTCATTGGGGATTGATGAGCCCAAGCAAATGTTCAAAATCCAGTGCTGCCACCCTGATTAGTTAAACATGAAATTTAGCTTTGTAAATTGTTTTATTGTTAGATCTAGTGCATTTCGAGCTATCTTGCATCTGTCTGCTATAATATGGTTTTAACGGTTTATGGCTCCTTGAAATCGATACATGCAGGGATAGCTCGGAATATGTTATAGTCACTATAGTATTTAGATTGTATAATTTATATTGTGACAAAGTTTATAAAATAAAATGAAATAAATCTTTTATTAGCTGAAAAGATTTCAGGAAAGTCACTGCTGTCAATTGAGAAAAGTGACCTAAAAGAGATGGGAATAAAGACCCTGGGTAAACGAATTGAGCTTATGACAAAAATTGATGAACTGCTGCATAAAGGAAGTGGAGATGTTGTAACTCAAGTCTCAAGTGGAAATATACAGTCCTTTAAAAGGAAAATCACAAAATTGGACAAAGAGAGCTGGGATGAGAAAACCAAGAATGAATACCTTGAGAAGTAGTTGTCTAGCATAAATTACAGTACTGAACTAGAAATATATGCATGCAGCAACCCCTCGCCTATATTTTCCAAACATTGATTTAACATGAAGTATTAGTTGGTCTGCAATGAACGCAGGCTTGAGGTGTGCGTCAAGTATTCCCATGGCAACAAGATAATTTAAAAATTTTTAATTTTATTTATTTTTTTGTGTAAAACGGCAAAAAATAGTTGAAAGATTAGTACTTTTAACTATACAACAATGAATTTCCAAAATATATACTGTGGGTAACCGTATGTTATTTTTCATTTTGTGAGCTTTGATATACAATGTAATGTGAAATTTAACCTGAAATGCTTCGTAAAATGTTTTGAAATGTTCATTCAACCAAACTGTTGAATAATTTCAGTTCAGTCTAAATCTTAAATTAAACAGGGTAATTTACTAATTTAGGAAATTGAAAAGGAAAGCAGTTCATGTTTTAGGCAAAAAATTTAATTAAAGATGCGGTACAGTCCGATTTGCACATGTGCACAAAGGAGCCCTCTTTTTATTTACAAACAGTTTATTTAGGTTTTTATTTCATTTTATGTTCTTTATCTTGCTTACTTCTACAAATATTTTGATCGAAAGAAATTAAATGCCCGCCATCTTGGATTTTTGTAGATACGCATGTTACGTCACAACAGGGGTCACGCAATATTTTTATCTAGACAACCACTAATCATTTTGCATTCAAAATTATACTCTGTATGCCCTTGGAAATATCAAGATCACTTGAAACCTTTAAAACATCTACCTATACTTATTTTTCACCCTGCTCGGTTTCCTTTGTTCTTATCGGGGAATATATTCAATATTCCACTCTATTCAATTTCCGTTTAATAATCCCCTCTAATATTCACCTGCAATTAATAATCCCCTCTAATATTCACCTGCAATGTCTTTGCAGCACAAAAAATGAGAAAAAACAACATCGCAAAAGCAATATGGCATTGAGAATTATTTCTTTTCTGACTCATTAACGCCACCTCGCAGTGTGAAAAATAAGTACGTTATTTTGAGGCACCTCGGGGATATGTGTTTATTCACCTCGGCGCTGCGCGCCTCGGTGAATAAATCACATATCCCCTCGTTGCCTCAAAATAACCTATACGAATGTATATTTCTAGTATAATCAACGAAGAGTTACTATGGCGATATGTTCCGTGGATAATGGAAAAAGATCAAGCGTTGGCCGTTAGGGTAAACTAACTTTATTTATACTGGATAGCTCTAGCAGTTCTAAACTGTTCTTCCTAGAGGTCCAGTAAGGATCATCTCTTATTAATCCAGTGTTACTACAGGAGGAAACCAAAACTAAACTAACTTTATTTATACTGGATAGCTCTATCGGTTGTAAACTGTTCTTCCTAGAGGTCCAGTAAGGATCATCTCTTATTGATCCAGTGTTACTACAGGAGGAAACCAAAACTAAACTAACTTTATTTATACTGGATAGCTCTATCGGTTGTAAACTGTTCTCCCTAGAGGTCCAGTAAGAATCATCTCTTATTGATCCAGTGTTACTACAGGAGGAAACCTAAACTAAACTAACTTTATTTATACTGGATAGCTCTATCGGTTCTAAACTGTTCTTGCTAGAGGTTCAGTAAGGGTTAATTAACCATTGTGTATGATTTTTCTTTCTCAGATATTCAGCGAAAGTTCACTGGATGAAGCGACGGAGAAACTGCAGCCAGATTATATTTTAGAATATTTTAGTAAATTTCCAATCGCGTTGCAAAAATATTTGGAATTTTTAGTATTTCAAAAAAAGTTAGATGTGAGTTCGTTTAAATTTTGTGTAATGCATTTAATAAAGTAGATAGCTCTATTAGTTCTACATTGTTCGTCTTAGAGGTCCAGTTAGGGGCCTCAGGGCTATCTCTTATTGACCCAGTGTTTATTACAGAAGGATAATCGCCTGAGGTGAATGAGACAATTGCATACTTAGGATGAAATCCTGGTCACAGAGAGGTGTAAGACACATGTACTATCGGCTACTAACACCTCACATATGTTTTTTTTAGAAAGAAAAGTACCATAGTCGTCTTGCGATATTTTATTTGGATCAAGTCCAGAATTTAAAGAAGAACCCAAAGTCTTCAAAAGAAGCGATTGATAACGCGAGGTATACTGTGATGGTGATGATGGTGATGATGATTATGATGATTATGATAATGATGATAATGATGGTGATGATGATGGTATGAACAAACTCGAAATCAACTTCAGTAATCTTTTTCGTGAATATTTCATTCAGGGTTTCGCTACAGTCAATGTTAAAATTCTCCTCACTCTACAACGCGTCGCTTCTGTTGTCAAAGATTCCAGAAGAAAGTGGTTTGGATCTAGAAACAGCCATGTTATACGGAAGGGTAAGTCTAGCGCGAATTTCTCCTTGTATTTTTAAGGCAGTTGCATCCCTACCGAGCGACGTCTAGTGCCGAGCGTTCTTCCTGCAGTAACACTGAGCAATAAAGGATTATCCTTTCTCGACCTATAGAGTTTAGAACAGACTTGGCCTCGTAGCTCAGTTGGCAGAGCATTGGACTAGTATCCCAAAGGTCGCGTGTTCGATTCCCACCATGGTCAGGCTAACTTTTCAGCCTGCCCGGTGTGGATATACACTCAAGCCGCGTTCACACCAGCGGCCCTGGCCTGGCCTGGACCTGGCCTGGGCCAATTGTGACGCATTCACACTTGCTTGACGCCCAACTCCAGGCCAAAGCAATCAGGCGTCAATATAAACGTCCTTGTGTTCCACTAAAGTATTTAATTTCGCGCTTTGAATGTTTTTCCCTCCAATTGTATGACAATCATCTGACCAGTTTTTATCGTGGGCAGATATTGCGATGGTAACGGGGCCTCGCCCAGGAAAAACCCGTTCACACCAGTGATGATCGAGGCCCAGGCCAGGCCAAGGCCAGATCCAGGCCACCTACATTTGCTGGCCTGGATTTCTTGACTTAGGCCAGGCCTAGGCCAGGCTCAGGCCAGGTAAAACCCGTTCACACCTAGACCCAGGCCAGGTCCAGGCCAGGCCTGGACCGCTAGTGTGAACGCGGCTTCAGAGTAACATCAATAACTAATTATTCATGTGAGTACATAACATCAAAACAAACGCAAGAAATATATATCATGAGTTTAGAACAGTTTCGAATAGAGCGAGCTTTGTCATACAAATAAAGTAGAGCCATTCAGGAAGTCAGAGTTGCCAAACTAAAGTATTTTACTTGATTATATTTTCAGTTGGAACATCATGAAAAAGCTTTGAAAATTTATGTTCACGAACTGGCAGATTTTGACGGCGCTGTGGCTTACTGCGAATTCTACTCCAAGGTTGCTTCATGTATTTCGTATTTTTACCAAACTTTTCATCACTAAGTATAATTAAAAAAATATTATCCAACTTAATGTGATGCAAACTGGTGATAAAAGTTTAATCTTTTTCTTTTTGTTGACAGGGTCACGACAGGAGTTATCGTAGAAAACTATTTTATCTCTTACTGTCGGTGTATTTACAGTCTGGAGTGTAAGTTATAATACTTTTAGTATTGTGTCTTATAGTACTTTCAACAATATTTTTGTACAAACAAGCTGATCAAAATACGAGATGATGGCAAGCTTTTTGATTTTTTTTTTCAGAAAGCAAACAAATGATATGGTCGTGGCAGCCGTGAGCTTACTCAATTCTCATATTCAGGATTTTGATCCGGTGAAGGTCGGTAAAGTTGTCGCAATATATTTATTTCACATAGTTTGACTGTTCATACAATGATTTACCCTCAGGCACATGCTGGCGATTTGACTCTACGCAAAAGGATATACAATTACTTTATGGTTTCCGTGTTTGGATGGCCTGATCCAAACACGCGGGAATGTTGCGAGAGTTAAGAAAAGCGAGCGAAATCACGAGCCGAAGGCGAGTGATTTTGCCCGCTTTTCTTAACTCGAGCAACATTCCCAAGTGTTTGGATCAGTCCATCCAAACACGGAAACCATAAAGTAACTGTTTTATAAAATAACAACAACACGGTAGTCTTCCGTGTTTGGATGGCCTGATCCAAACACGGCTTTCGACCAATCAGAACACGCGTTATATACATGTTATTTTATAATGACTCTTACTGTACCTCTAGGGAGAACAGTTTCCAGTATAAATAAAGTTAGTTTTGTATATTTAGGTTATGGAAATAATTCCAGAAGAATGGTCAGTAAGGTTAATCTCACCTTTCCTGATCGGCTTGTCCCGAGACAGCTTGCACACCAGTCGTAATACCAAACTCAGGAAGAATTTGATGAGATCTGAAAATATAAAGGTACGTGGTTATGTTTGTGCTGGTAGTGATGATGATGATGATGATGATGGTGATGATGATGATGATGACGGTGATGGTGGTGGTGATGATGATCATGATGATGGTGACGATGACGATGATGGTGATGGTGATGATGATGATGACGATGATGATGGTGATGGTGATGGTGATGACGATGATGACGGTGATGGTGGTGATGATGATGATGATCATGATGATGGTGATGATGACGATGATGGTGATGATGATGATGATGGCGATGATGATGATGATGATGATGATGATAATGATGGAGATGGTGATGATGGTGATGGTGATGGTGATGATGATGATGATGATGATGATGGAGATGGTGATGATGATGGTGATGATGATGGTGATGATGGAGATGGTGATGATGATGATGATGGTGATGATGGAGATGATGATGATGATGATGGTGATGATGGTGATGATGATGATGATGGTGGTCATGATTTACTTTATATAAATTTAATATCACATATTTCCCACTATATAGATGAAGAAAGGCTACATATCCTACACAACTAAACCAGTCACAATAACTGAAGAAACGTGAGTATTAAACTTCCTAGATCAGTTCTCCTGGAACGCTCATTATTCAGCCAGCCTTCACACACAGGAGGAAACTGTAGTGCCTAGAAAAAATCCTGCGGTGTTTGGTAGAGTCATATGCAACTGAGATTTATAATGAGACAACTGCGTATTGCAGGAATCAAACCTCGCTCACAGAGGTCAAAGATGGCACAATAATCTATCCATACCAATCATTTCAACTTACTGTTTTGTGTTTCAGTTATTGTCGAGTTTGTCGGAGACCGTTCAACGACAGCAACATAGCAAGATATCCAAATAACATTATCACTCACGTCCATTGTGCAAGACACAAAACTCTTTGTCCCGTCACGGGGCAACTTTTCTCTGTAAATGATGGAGATATATAAATATAACATATGAACTGATTTAAAATAGTCGAGTTTCGCAAAGCACTATCGTGCGGCAGATGGTGATCAACCTGCAGTTAGAAAATAATGTTCATTCTTTTCATTATATGTGATAGTCTTGTTTTAGAGGCGAACAAATAGAATGGGCAATTCCAGCTTTTGACTAAATTTTGATCTAGGCAAGAAGAACAAAATCCATCACCACAGCTAGAAAGAGCATGTTAAAATGAGTAAAATTGCAAAGTTTGGTTGCGAAATGTTGTAAAATGCGGAAAATATAGCCTTGCAAAGTTCGCAAATTTTGTATACTTTTGTATTGCGTGCGGAAATTGCTACCACATTTGGGCCGAAAATCGTAGCAATTTCCGCACGCAATACACAAGTATACAAAATTTGCAAACTTTGCAAGGCTAAATTTTCCGTATTTTACAACATTTCGCAACCAAACTTGGCAATTTTACTCATTTTAGTATGCTCTTTCTAGCTGTGGTGATTTACTTGCATCTCCTTGCCTAGTTTTAAAATTAGTCTATACTGGGAATTGTCTATACTGGGAATTGTCTATTACAGACCTTTTGTGGTAGAAGCTTTCTCAAGCGAGATGACACATCGAATCTACCGCAAAAAACACATATAGAAATTTCTACTTACTCTACTATAAAACGTGTTCGGTGTTTTAAGACTGTGCTGTTGTTTTCTGTCAGTCCTGCAATTGTACAATCTGTTAGTGGACAATTTATTATCTAATCATGTAAATAGAAATGAAATATATTAAATTTAATAATTACCTGTGATGAAATACCATTCTCGCATTGGAAAATAAAACTTCATAAAGTAGGAATGTTATAATATATAACGCCAAATTCTCGACTACAAAGTTTTAATACAAAAAATATGAACAATAAATAAAAATATCAAACAGAGCTTTCCTTATAACGATTTTTTCGCTCATCTTTTTTCGTTTTTCGTTTAAAAAAGCTTCTGATTTTGCTAGTTTTGCTTTTCATTCGTCGGGTGCTCGTGCCTAACTCGCATTCAGCCGGTGCATCTTCGATAAACGTCGTGCTGCCGTCGGGACTGGGCGGAACGTTTTCGCAAGCGGCACTTGTTGTTCCCATTTCGGGATCGGTCGGGTTAACTTTGGAACATGACGGTTCAACTTCGAGATCTGTCGCCGAATTCTCGGGAACTGTCGGAGTAACTTTGGGATCTGTCGGAGTAACTTCGGGATCTGTCGGAGAAACTTCGGGATCTGTCGGAATACTCGCCACATCCTCAGTAGTATTTGCCGTGTGCTCGTGAACGTTCGCCACACCTTCGCTATCGTCCGCTACACTGTCGTCGCTATGTCGGGCACGTTCGGCCATATCAATAGGGAATGAACTAAACTTCCCGGAGACATCGTCATCATCGACAGTGTCGACTATAATATTACTCAGTTTCGCCATTTGTGAACTGATCCTGCAAATGGATTGGGTCAGAACTTCTTGTTCGATGTCCTCCTCGTCATCATCTGAAAAAGATATACAAACTAGAGTAAGGTCTAGAATCTTTCAAGCACATAGCTGCGTTTCACCTTCAGTCGTTTCACAGAGTGAGAAAATAATATCACTTCTCTTCATTGTATGGGGTACACATGAAAAAGTCTCACAACTTGTCAACAAGATGTGTTCGCAACAGGCTTGTAGCAAGCTCGTCAACAAGTTGTAACAATGTTGTTATTTTATCAAGTTGCTACAAGGTTGTCACTCACAACTTGTTGACAAATTGTTGAATGGCAGGACGATAACAAGTTGATGGAACAACTTGTAACAAGTCTGTTGAGATCAGCATCCTTGTAGCAAGTTGTCGACAAGCCGTTGGCAACTAACTTGTCAACAAGCTTGGAACAAGCAGTGCGAATACATCCTGTTGACAAGTTGTTGGAACAGCATTGCTACAAGTCCGCTGCAGGTTTGTTACAACTTGTGCGTTTTTACGCGGTAGTCTTGTATTTGGTGGCGAATAAATAGAATAACTAGTCGCGAATAAATAGTTCACCACACTACTCAGAAACGCTCTAGAACTTTAATACTCCAGAGTCACTCACCGCAAATCGTATCGCGGCGTCTCAGTATGCCATACAGATCACAAAGTAACATCGTATAACACGCCCAGTTCTTTCTAGTATGTCGTCTGATCAGAGATCTCTTTCTGTACAAACTTTCTTTCAATTTCTCCTCTTCTTTCTCCTGGTGATGTTTCTTCAGGTTCGCTGAAAGACGATTGTAAAAATGACTTATTACATGGAATACATTGGAAGACCAAATCAAACCAAACCCAATCAAACCAAACCAAACCAAATCAAACCAAACCAAATCAAAACCAATCAAATCAAACCAAACCAAACCAAACCAAACCAAACCAAACCAAACCAAACCAAATCAAATCAAACCAAATCAAACCAAACCCAATCAAATCAAACCAAATCAAATCAAACCAAACCAAATCAAAACCAAACCAAACCAAACCAAACCAAACCAAACCAAACCAAACCAAACCAAACCAAATCAAACCAAATCAAACCAAACCCAATCAAATCAAACCAAATCAAATCAAACCAAACCAAACCAAACCAAACCAAATCAAACCAAACC